AAATATTTACAGACCACCTTCATATAACTGGAATATTGCTGCGTGTGGCGTTAAACCAAAAAAATAAAACCACAGGGGCAGGCAGTCCTACTATAAGTGACAGTGAATTTATAAAAGTAATTTTACTGTACTTTAAAAGAAACTTTCCTGTATGAATGCATTGCAAGTGTTCCATGTAATCCCAATATCAAAAATGTGTCTGTGTCATGACGCACTCACATCAAATTAAAAACTAACAAACAATATGTCACTGTTCTACAGGCCATGACAAACACAAATCAGAACAAATTATAAAAATGTAAATCAGAAGGTGTATGTCTGCAAATCAGTTTCTTTAAGTCAAGTGGTTTATCATTTACCTTTCTAACCATGACATGTACAATTGTTGTAATGTAAGCCGGCAGGGGTCTATTGTAGCATTGTCTGGTAAGTGTTATTGCTGCTGCAATGAATATAGAATTATTATCTATTTACATGCACATGTTTTGAAAACTTTGAACATAAAATGGTGATGAAAACACAACCTAAACACCAACAGTTCTGTTCTCTTCATGACATCAGACGTCATGTTCAAGGACACTTTAGTTACATATTTATGATTTGACTTCAATATTTGTTCCGTTTATAGACTGTAAACGTGAAACCTGTGCAAATCTGCGTAGTGGATAAAGCAAAGTGTGCACGCCATTTTTTTATGTTTATACCTTTATAAATGCAAACAGATATTGAAGTCAATTCTTATAAATAAATATGTCAACAATTATAACCTCACAGACTGCTTATTTAATAATTAACACAAAAAAAACATTGCAAAATGAGCAACATTGTTCAACACAGTAATGCAACAAAAGCCACACCCTTTCAATTACCAAGAAACAGTAGTCTGTTAGTCGGCAAGGTCTAATGGTATTTTTGGTTTATGGAACTTGGTGCATAATTGCCAAAGATAATTGCTTAGGTAGCCAATCAAATGTCAGGGAACCACTTGCAATATATTTACTTACTCACATACACAACCAATACAGTAATCCCATAGTCAGTGAACACGCCATACCACCTCCCACATATAACTGTTGGTTGGGTGTGCGTTCACACACGTTATCAGTATCTGGGCTGGCGTGGTGGGAAATGTCCAGGATATGATGAAGAAACTGCAATACAGCTTGGAGTGTTTGAATGAAAGTCAAGGCATTGTTTCCATTCATATACTACTCAAAAGAAGTTAAAGAACACCCAACTATTTCATATGACTACAGTTAGTCTGTCATGCCCGTAACAGATTAACTATCACCATTTGAAAAAAATGAGTTCCTTAACTTCTTTTGAGTAGTATATATCAAATATCTGGTATGTATGTTAAGAGATTTGAAAAGAAGAAAAGACATTGAAGACTATTCTGAAAATTTTGATTTATTTGACATTTATGAAACTTTAGTCAATGGATCCAGAATAACAAAAATAATAATTATTTAACCCATTCCAGAATAGGAAAAATTGCAAGAGTGAGTGAAACGTATTTCAGTTATCAGGGAATATCAGCTGGGTGTGGGAGGAAAACCTGAAGTGATGTGGATCTTCAGTGTTTATCACATTGGTGAAATGGGGCAGTGGGGTAGCCTAGTGGTTAACGTCACCCCAAAGACCCTGGTTCGATTCCCAACTTGGGTACAAGCCCATTTCTCGTGTCTCCCACCATGATATTGCTGGAATATTGTTAGAAGCAGCATAAAACCTAACTAACTCACTTATACTTATAGGTATGGTGCTGAAAAACCAAGAAACATAATCAAGGCAAATCTGGGATTTGAACCCTGGTACTTCTTAGGGATGCACCTCAGACAACTGGTCCACCCATGACCCGTACATTTTGAGTACGAACTTATAAGTTTTCCTACTGTAATCTGCATCATAATCTTTCACTATTTGCCTCATGCATACACGGTAGTCAAAGGCGTAGTCAGTCATAAATCTACCATGTTGATAGTAGCAATACATTAAAGATAGACATGATCGAAGATAAAATTACAACAACCCTTGAACATGTGTGTCTCTTTAGTGCTGCTGGAATATTCACGACAGAAATGACATCATGTAACATGCTTGCAGAACATCAATGCCTCACTGTTTACATAAACATGTTAAGATTGTCAATTAACAACAGGTGCTTGTGTGTGTCAGGCTGATGGACAGTGTCGAAATAGACATGATATTAACATGCTACAGAGCCCAGACACTGCTGTCAGTGTGTTGGCTGGGATACTGTGTATATCTACACCACTGGTCTCCCTGATCACATTACACAGAGAAAAACATTAGCCAATATATGTAGCACATCTTGATACAGGATGCCTATGACTTTCACATTTTTTGCCAGGTGCAATTATTCTTCAGTTTCATTTCGTCCTTGGGTTAAACAATTGAATCACAAAATCATTGACAAATTTAATAAGCTACAATAAGCCAATTTTACTTTTGAATTTGTTTTGGTTATATTTTTTCAAAGATTGTTAAATGTTTCTATCCATAAATTGTGTCTACTTTGTAATAATTAATTGATTATGGCCCAAACTGCTCATATTTCTTACTATTGGTATGTTTGCCACAATCTGATTTCGGATAGTTTATCCTGCTAACTGTTCCCTTGACCTGCAGACTCCATGTTATAATGACCCATGTGAACACTGTATCCTTGTGGTCTGGTTACATAACACATTATTCTGACACATCACACTACTTACCCCTGCATACTTGTCAATCATGTTATGCAATTAACAACTACACAATGGATAGCTGTGAGGTCAGGTGTTGCGATGTTTATTGATGAACTGCATTTGTGATTGATTGCTTTTGATCAATGAGTGAACCGCCCTGGTATACAGGTATTTCACGTAAAGCAATTAAGTATGTGAGCAATTCACACTGATGTTTGCTTTTGATTTTGGAGTAATTCAAGCTTGATATATAATTGATTATGACCCAGTGCTTCCTGAATACCAAGTCATTACTCACTAACTGCATAGTTGGCGAATACTGGCAAGCTATGTGATTAATGGGATATGGCAATTTATTTGATATTAAGAAGAAGGCCAAGAAAAATATACAACTTAGGCCCCAGCATATTGATTATTTGCTTGTATTGTTTTCAATTATAATAATAAAAATCATCCCCAAAATATTTTTAGACTAAACACAGCGTTTTTGGTTTTTATTTTACTTTTGAGAGGGTTTAGGTTCCATCAGCAATATGTAATTTATTTTTACTTTTGCAACATTTACATAAATAACATGAATATGATAGGCATATAAACTATGAGGGTATTGTTTGGTCCTCTCTAACATTTAAAAGACTGATGAGGCATCTTATCTTATATTGAAATTGTTAAAGGTAGTTGTAGATTCTAAATATTTCATGATTTCGAGCCAGGAGATGATGTAGAAGAGCTATGTAAACTCAACTGCTCATGTTTGTCTGATAGGTACCATGTGAAATTGTGAAATCTAAACAGCACACATTTGTCAAAAAGGTAGCCCTAAAGCTGCAATAGTGAAATCTAAACAGCACACATTTGTCAAAAAGGTAGCCCTAAAGCTGCAATAGTGAAATCTAAACAGCCCACATTTGTCAAATAGGTAGCCCTAAATCTGCAATAGTGATATCTAAACAGCCCACATTTGTCAAATAGGTAGCCCTAAAGCTGCAATAGTGATATCTAAACAGCCCACATTTGTCAAATAGGTAGCCCTAAAGCTGAAATAGTGATATCTAAACAGCACACATTTGTCAAATTGGCAGTCTTAAAACTGCAATAATGATATCTGAACAGCACACATTTGTCAAATAGGTAGTCCTATAGCTGCAATAGTGATATCTTAACAGCACACATTTGTCAAATAGGTAGTCCTATAGCTGCAATAGTGATATCTTAAAAGCACACATTTGTCAAATAGGTAGCCCTAAAGCTGAAATAGTGAAATCTAAACAGCACACATTTGTCAAATAGGTAGCCCTAAAGCTGAAATAGTGAGATCTAAACAGCACACATTTGTCAAATAGGTAGCCCTAAAGCTGAAATAGTGAGATCTAAACAGCACACATTTGTCTAATGGGTTCCCTGTACTCACAACAGTGAAATCTAAAACAGCTGTAAGCAAATGAACGCATGGGTTCAGAGCAAGTCAAATACTTTTTAGTGTTATTTGTTATAATGAAAAGTATTAATGTCATAACGAGTTCTGGTTTCTGTGATACGAATATTGCCTTAATCTTATCCAACTTTTGAATACTCTGAATAACAGTGCATTCCAAGCTCATTACCTGTGAAATGGCAATATGTGAACTCTATTCACAACAGGTTGAATATTTATAGTAATAGTATTGATTTTATACGTATAGCACAATGTTCAAACAGGCTGCCATTGAAAATTAATACTGCATTACTAGGGGGGTTAAAGGGATTCTTCTGCAAAGATACCATACAGGAATACTGCTAGTCTCTATGTGAGCACCCACGTATATTTACTTTCAACAGACAGGAAAGTTTCAGGTATTTGCATGGTAGCGGAAGTCGGTTTGTTTGGGTTTTGAAGATGAGCGTTATACGGTTGTGACGAGACACCAGAAATATGATGGACATGTTGAATCTATATAATATTCAACTGCGCGTATAAGAAATAGACAAGGGAGGTTTCACTCCTTGATGTCCAGACATGTATATGCTCGTTCCGGTCGAGTGAACTTTATATGGCGATGTACATGGTTCTCCTCTGAAAATAGGTCGAGACGCTTTTGACACGAGATACAGGTCATATTTTAAAAGCGCCAACTGTTTTAACTGTCAAATATAGTTACCTCAAGCGTTCATTTAGCCAGGTGTGATATCCAGACAGGTATGTGAGCGCGGGACGGGTCCCCACCCACCCTCAACTCGCAAACGTTTTCAACAACGCAGGACAACTGTCCAAAATTATCCCGATTTCACACCTGTTAATATTGCATTTACCTGTTCAGGTGTATATATATCCTTCTCCGCGCGTTCCCTCCTGTAAACACGTTTCACTAATCCATCCGTCCGCTCACAAAGTTACATCCACAACGAAATATGTCCTACACTTGCAATCACATCACCTAGGAAGTTCCAATCTAGGGCCACCGGCTGAGCTATTTTTAGTAACGCCCAGGTATGGGGACTGTCGTTCAATTAATTACATTGTCAATTTACACGTGTATACGTATATCACACATGGGACATTGCTTCCAACGTCATCATATGCATATTGAACATCTTTGCAGCGTTATTTTTGTAGGTGTAGAATTTGTTGACGACATTTAATTGATGTCGTATTACCGAGGGAGGTTGACAGCTGTTGGAAGAGCCATGTCGCCCGACTACATAGCGGTACTTGAGGAAGAGTTACCGCAACAGCACAGGTAAGGATTCTCCCCCGACGAGCGTCTATCTACCTGGGCAAACAACGCGCGCCTTCGCATAGTCACACAGCTATGTCTTTCACACAATAAAACAGTGGAAGTCGAGGTATCAGTTCACTTTTGAAAAATGGCAGACACGGAATTTGGCGTGACAAATATTTCGCCTGTTTTTGTCGTTGTTTCTATTTTCGAGCGACAGAAAGATCATTCTCACATGGTACAACCATTGTATTCCCTTTTTATGTAAAACTTAACGTCAATTTTGGTTTTAGTCGTCTAATAGGTCCATTAAAGTATTCTACCAAAGACGGTAAATTTGTCAAAAGTGTGCCTTGAATGAATGCCGCTGTCAACCAATTTGATCACAATCCTTTTCCTGATTCTGACACTGTGGCGTAATCTCGATGATTAAATTTCAGCATATATTATATAAGAGTATTATCAAAATAATTTAAAGAGGAGTCCATACAGAGGCGGGGATAAGTTGTACCATTGTGGGGAATGGAACGTGGGTCTTTGGCATCGCAACCCAACGCTTTAACCACAAGGCTACCCCCACCACTCTTAATTATAACAGGAAATTAAAAGAACATAGACATGTTCATTGAATGTTCAGCGCTGTTAAATTTCATATGAATGTTTATCGTTAAAATTACTAGTGGGGTTCGTCATGCTGCAATATGTATTTACCGAATAACCTACCTATATCAATAGGTAATGGGAATACGAATCTAAAATGTTAAAAACAAAGGCTGTCGTCGCCGGGATATCTTCACGCCGAAGACCCGGCCGGTTCGATTCCCGACATGGGTACAATGTGTGAAGCCAATTTCTGGTGTCCCCCGCCGTGATATTGCTGGAATATTTCTAAAAGCGGCGTAAAACCATATTCATTCACTCACTCACTCACTCCTGTAGGACTTCAATCAATCAGTCTTTATTTCTTAGTACTGAGGTCATTGGCTTATTGTACATGTACACAAAGTAGGTCAGGGTACATTTATACAATGGAATACACATCAATAACCACGAAAACTGTTATCATAGCATGACAAATGAACATATTTTCTTTTAACTGTGACCGTATTCTTAGTCTACTTTAGTAAGTCAATTTTATACAAGTGAGGATGCTTGCAAAATTATTCACTTATGAATTGTCTTTTTTATATTGCAATGACATGGACGAACAAGTAAGAAGTGATATTTATACCGATATGATGAAACTACATAGTTGACATAAGTAGTGTTCTGTCCTCTCTTTGAATTCCACAATGTCTACTAGATTCACTGAGACCTGCATCTAAAGCAGGGTCGGAATTACAAACAAATAGTGCCCTCTATTTATATTTGTGTAATAACCGAATAATGATTTAATTCAACCTCTTTTGGAAGTACATGTCAGTGCAAAATCAGTTATTTATTCGCTCTGGAATATCTGCATTTTGTTCAGTCAAAACATAACCGCACCCAGATTAATTAAGTTATTGTTACAACGCACGATGTTAGTTTTACCCTGACGATCGTTGAGTAATTTTGTTTGTTGGTTGTTTAACGCCGCACTCAGCAATATTCCAGCTATGACGGCGGTCTGTGAGTAATCGAGTCTGGACCAGAAAATCCAGTGATTGACATCATGAGCATCGATCCACGCAATTGGGATCGATGACATGCATCAACCAAGTCAGCAAGCCTGACCACCCGATCTCGTTAGCCGCCTCTTACGACAGGCATAGTCGCCTCTTACGGCAAGCATGGGTTGCTGAAGACCAATTCTATCCCAGATCTTCACGGGCCGACCGTTGGGTAACAACATACTTGTATCATTTCTTTTGAAATCTTGAATTTATCACCCTTAGTAATTCTTGTGCGACTCATTTCGAGACAATGTCAATAATACACAACGAAATTGATCAAGATAGTTCAGCCATGACACAAAATTAATCAAGATTGGGTTTGATTTTTAAGACTAATTACGCTAGTAAGTCTTAGTATATGTGGCCGTTCTGCATATTTCTGAGAACCCCATTACATGAGCATAATATTATGTATAAAAGGACACGGATATTTGAGTGGGTTTAGCACTCGCGTGTCGTGCCTAGACCAATAGGAGATGCCATGCGACGCATTATAACGGGGATGCATGGAATGTAGCGGCGAATGTTGTCGCTATGCGTCGAAAATTACTCACACCCATGACATAATCCCAGTTCGTGTTCGCGCGCAGAAGGATCCCCATCAACACCCATCACTCACCTGGCAACGTTTTGTCCACCGAAAATGATATTTCTGTATTTCACATTGTACAGGAATTTCCATAAACGTGATACATGTCACCATGGACGATAATAAATGTGGCATAAAAAACAACATATTAATAGCGGGTTGAATAAAATTTTAAAAAAGTACATGTAATGACCCAGTTTCAAGGATGACAAAACTTGTTAATACAACGTGTATGGTAGATTTACTGCATTAAATAAAACATAAAATATGTGTTTATTTCTGACACCCAAAATGCAGGTCACGCTTTCAACTACGATTAATATAAACAGTGATTTTGCAAACATTAAACAATATGCTTGGATTTCTGTTGTAGACCCATCACTGCTTTCTTTTATCTAAAAGGAGACGCCGAACAACTGTTTTTGGTGTTCTTTTAGAATTTTATTTTTTTACAGTATTTCTGTCACAAATAAATTGTTTGCAAAAAATCCCACCCAGCCTCAACTCAGAATATCAGATTGTCGATCCGTTATTCAAAGAAACTGCAGCTATTCTAGAAACCCGTTTAAGTCACGTCACTTTGACGTAACAAGCCAATGTCACATGATCCATGGGGCTTTGCCATCAAGTTAACGTACCCCAGGGTGTTAGTTTTAACTTGCGTCACGGGATTATTCAAGAGCTGCAAGATTATCACTCACTCAGACTCTTCTGAATATTTGCAGATCTATGGAAACCGGTTTCTGCTTTGTGAACAAAATAATAAAAACACAAAAAAAACATTGAGAAAACGCTTCCGGGTAAACCCAGCTGAGAAAATGACAGACGAGAAAGCATATATTTCGAATGAGATCATGTTCACGTGCTGAACAATTTATATCCGTGATAAAAGTGCAGACCATAAGTTAAGAATTGGCGTCTAGGGAACCCACTCACTATCAACATAAATTCCCGGAGAAAGAAAGTATACCCTTAAAAACTGGATCTGACCCTAAAATTACAAACGTTATCAAAACGTTTCTAGGCTGAAACAGTCGACGAAACACTGCAAACTTAAGGTTCAAAACACCGATATGTCACCCTATCAAATACTAAGTCTTTACTGTCGATTAACCATTTAATTTTGTGAAAAAATGTCTCGTATATACATGAGTAAATGAATAACGGGAAAACTATAATTTGAATTAAAACTTTTCAAAATGAAAAAAAGGTTTTCGCATAATACACATATAGATATCTTATTTTGTAAAAATTAATATATATTTTCGGCGCAAATTTACAAAATTTCAAACATGGGAGGGGTCATGTTGCAAATACATTTCTTATCTCAGTCATCATTGAACCAATATATTTTTAAACAAAATTACCCAGCCACCGGAATCTTTTTGCAAGTTGTTGCAGAAAGTAGTGATGATTAAATAGACATAATCTAATTGAACAAGGTTTCTTTCAATTTTCAGTTACGTAAAAACACAAACTCGGTATACTTTATTTTGCCCCTATGTTTATTTGTACTTGTAGAAGAACGCTGGCATGAATTAATGATGAGTTTCTTCACATGAGCAAGCATCGTTACGGTTGATGAGCCTGACTGCACATGGCTCTCACTTAAGAATGCATAGGCATTAATATTGTAGGTGTTTAAACAGAGATTAATGGGATTAAATGACCGATAAGCAGTAAATGCAATAATTTATATTGCCTTCTTCTCAAAGGTTCATAATCGAGGCGAGTATAGCATTCTTGCCAACGACAATCGAATCATGTAAAGGCTAAGGGACACAACTCTGCGAAGTGAACGTCCGAGTCTGCGATCACCGAGTTTCATATGTTTATGCACGGACTTGTATAACCAAGTATAAGGTTATATAGGTCCGTGGTTTATGTGAGTTGGGTTTAACGCCGCTTTTAACAGTATTCCAGTTATATCGCGGCGTGTCAGCTTAATGTGGGAGGAAAGCCCGAAGTGATGCAGGTCTCAGACCTTTACCACTTCGGTGAAACCCACGAGCACAGGTATGGTGCTGACAAACCTAGAAACATAATCGGGACGAAGCGGGATTCGAACCCACAATCATAGGTTTCTGGCACAGCGAATCGCGGCGCCTTAGACGACTGGGCCACCCGTGCCCCCTCATATGTTTATGAGGGTACGACATGCACCCTTAGCTTTGCTTCATCGCCTACATGTACACACAACCTTGATAAAATCCGGATTTTAATCAAAAATATATGTAAAAAAAAATTGGTTTGGTGTATATATTTTTGCTTGGCATTCCGTTATAGATTAAGTCAAAAATTCCGAGAGAGAATAGACTGACTTCAATATAATACCTTGCGCTTGCCGAGCGTAAATGATAAATAGAGGAACGTCAGTACCGACTGAAAAATAAATTCACAAAAAAAACTAAAAACTATCTCTTTGGGCTAGTTTAATTAATTATGACAAGTCTGTTTTTAGTTATATTGTATTTCATCGTGTGTGTT